TTTCAATCATTTAATAAATAAATTAATAAAAAAACGTATTTTATTAAAAATGTCATTACAAATTATGAACAAAAACATAAATAAATGCCTCAAACAAAGGTACACGATCACGGCTACTATGATTTAAATAATACAACTGCAGTTCTATAAAACATTGTTTGGTTTTTGCATGAACGTAGAAAAAATATTGTATGTAACTCGTGCAAAAAGTGTTTATTGCATTCGGCGTGTTGTCCAACTCGGCCTGACGGCCACGTCAAGTGCAATAAACAATTACTTTTTGCACTTGTTGCATAAGTAACTATTCTTTATTCCCCCAAATATTTTCGACGTTTTTTTTTTGTATTTGTCTACTTAAGTTGGAAACATGGAAAACTGTTTTATTATTGGTTTTGTAAAATTTTTTTATTCTTGATTAAAAGTTCTGCATGATCCAAAACTTAAAATGCAACCATCAGTTATCAATTTTTTTAAGCCGTATACGTGGTTTGTCAAAAAATGAATTTTACTCAAGTAGGTACTAAAGTACCTTTATTTTTTACAATACAGACGGATGTTATAAAGAAAAGTTATTTTGAATTAAAAGTTATATTCAAATATGCAATTACAGTTATTTAACATGAAAATTCAGGTTAGGTGATTATTTATGTTTTACAATATAAATTAATTGTAGTTATAAATTAAATAATCACCAAACCTAAATTTTAATGCTAACTTTTAATTCAAAATAACTTTCCTTTATAACATTCTTCCGTATTGTAAAAAATATTTTTGACATTTTTTTTGTAAGTATTTGTCATACAGTGTACTTAAGTTGGAAAACCATATGGAAAACTTTTTTATTATTTCCTAATAACACTGATCTGCCAGAAACATCCCATTTAGGTCCGATGTATGTTTCTATGTTTCTGACATAAATGGTACGTCCCTACAATGTTTCTAAAGAAACGTTTCTGGAATGATTTTTCAAGAACGTTTTAAAAACATCGTTATTATTTATAGGAAATATTTTTAAGACTAATATTCTATAAAAAAAAGTAATGTATATGTGTGGTAATAATGAATCATAATAAATGTTACAAATGGTATTATAAATGTTACATGTCTTCCGATATGTAACATTGTTCCTTACATAAATAAAAATTTCCGATATTAAATGAATATTTATATAAATTTGTGCCATTTACGACTATGCAATTTTGAAATTTCAAAAATGTATTGTGCCTAACAGGATGCAGAGACAAACTTGTTTTCTTAATATGATTTAAGTGAAATGTTTACTTTTGAAACATATTTTAAACATTATTTTTAAAGAATATCTCACTTATCCATATGACGATTTGTGGACAATCTATGCCATGTAAAACTACAATTTTTACTACTTAAACAATTATCGCTATTATCTCTAAAATTATTTCGGATTATGAAGTCAAATCAGCGAAACAAAGTTGAATATAGCCAGTATTGTAGGGTTGCTCCACACAAAAAAATAGATTTTCAAGAAAATCATTAGTTTTGATTTAAAATGCAACAAAACATTAATAGGGCATTATAATAAGAATATTCATGACAGACACAACATATTTGAATTATCTGATTCAGACTGATCTGATACAAATATGTACCATTATTTTTCAGTGATTTTTTTGTCTCTTGACATTAAGTTTTCATGTTTTGATTTAAAATGCAACAAAAAATTAATAGGGCATAACAAAAAGAATATGCATGACAAACACAACATATTTTAATTATCTGATTCAGACTGATCTGAAAGAAATGGGTATCTATTATTTTTCATTGATTTTTTTTGTCTCTTGATATTAAGTTTTAAAAATTTTATTTATTTTAATCTTTTTTAATTTCTAATTTGGGTATAAAAGCCAAAAATGTTTATTTTTCGTTTCTTATATAATTACCTGTTTTTTCTTTTATTTATTACACTGCAAATTATAATTATTTCCCCCTGTATTAAAATCTACTGTTCAGTTTCGATGATCTACTGTTTTTTCCCACCTATCTACTGTTCCAGAAAATTTTCATCTGGCAACACTGTTTCGCAGTATTGTTTACCTGCCAGCGTCGTTTCATAGAATAAGTAATTTTAAATTGTTACCAATGGAATCGGACAATCGCATGTATTTATGGACTATATTAAACATGTATTATGATATCCAAATCATAATCCTACAAAATTTTAACAGCTATTCACAATTTATTAAAACTATTTACTCGAAATTATTATTAACATATAAAAAATAATTTTGTAGGTATGTCAATGTATCGCGTCCATTTCGTTTAGATCCGCCACAAACCTGTCAATGTATGTGTATAAAGTGGGAGAACTGGCAAAAGCCTTTCCAACTTCTGCTCCTATACATGTATATTTATATATTATAAGATTTTCTATGACATAAATGTAATTAGAATTTAATAAATCAACTTTTTTACTGAAAAAAATTGCGACAGTCACATTTTTTAGATGAAATCCCCTTTAAATCCTATCTTTAATATTTAAAACAACTATTTTCGCATGTTTATTAAAATCTTTATGTTTTATGGATTTGTAATTTTTTTTATTTATCAATGTAACATGAAATCTTACGTTTTTTAAATAATTAAAGTGTAAATTTTAATAAATAGCTCAAAATTGTACATGATTAAAAAAAAAATTAACGAACAACAACCCCGCCGACTTTTTTAAAAAATTAAGGTGCTTTTTCGGTATTAAGTCAAAATAAAGTGAAATGATATATATTTTAAATCAAAAAAATTACAATGTATTTGGGACATAGAAAGGTAAGTTTTCACCAAATTTCGTGAAAAACAAATTTTTTTTGTAAAAGTTAAAAATAAAAAACCAAAAACTTGGTTATTTGAATTTTTCACATAAATTTTGAGGATATGTGAAAAAAGTGAAAATAGAAAAGTAGTAGATCTTTTTATTACCTAACACTTTGCTATTTAACTTTTTTCCATGGGACTTGTAGTTTTTCCGGAAATCGAGATGAACCGTTTTTTAACCTTAAAAACTCACCCCCATCCACTTCCCGACCTCAGATCGTCAGTAAATTATTTTTCCTTTCATTTTTGTTACATTCTCTTCCTTTTTCAATGGGTTTCATCTTACTATTATCTTTTTACTTTTTACCATGTTCAAAGGCTTCAGACCTGGTCTATGAAACCTTCCGATCTATTTAAATTATTTCAAGGGTAATGATAATAGTACGATTATTATTATTAAAATGTCACGAAGCATTATAACTGACATATAACAGTTTTTACTGCAGCGATTATTTTTTTCGTATAACTTTTAACCAATTAGAACGTTCAATTTAGTTAAGTTACCTCGTATAATTTCGATAATACCTGATTATAGATAGAGTAGCTCCACCAATCAAAAATATTTACAATAATTTCATTTCCGTAGTAACCACATCGACAATAATACACTAACTAACAGGACCGTCAAATTTTGACGTTTATCAATAATTATTTTAAAATGAGTCGATTTGGAGATGTATCATTAAATGCAAATTGTTGATATTTACTTAATTTACTCAAAAAATATTCGTATCAAATACAATACGTACTTTAAAATAAATACGGTTATACATCTCAAACTTCCTGCATAATTACAAATCGTGTCAGTTTGACAGAATAATCCTCCCGCTTCGCGGTCGGATTATTTAAACTGTCAAACTGACACTCTTTATAATTATTATGCAACAAGTTATCGATGTATAACCTGATTATTTTGAAGTACTTATAGTATTACTACTGATAATACAAAACTGTGGTATTGTCAGTTATTAATAACAAAATTGGTAAAAACCAGTGTCATGTTACATAGAGGAATCATATTCACCATTTAAATATTAAAACATATGTAAAAATATGAATAAGAAGCTACCTACCTATTAATTCCAATGTCCTCGATGGTTGCAAGGAACTTCCTCATTCAGTAGATTCATCCCAAATAAACATGAGATGTCAAAATATTAAATTGTGAAAAACTCAAAATACGAATAATTTTTTTTATTTTTAATTTATTTACTCATGTAGTTTCATTTTACCTAAGATGTTTGGTGCGCTCTAATTAAATCTCCGCAAACTTATCTACTAGCTAAAAGTAAATTAAAAATAATACAGTGTGGAAATTTATTTTTTGTTTTAAGTATAATTAACTCGCAGCGTCTTGAGATTCTTTCATACATTTTTAAGTTAAAAGTTAAAAATAAAATTCTTACCATCCCCTGTTCCCAGCGGCCTTATGCATGGCGACAGTGAACCCAAACATAGATCTATTATTATCCACAGGCTCAAAGACTGCATAATTCTTCTGGTCTATATTAAATCCAGTCACCAAAATAATATTCACTAATAGAATAGCACTAAAAACCAACCTACACTCACACATGATCGAATTTTTCAAAAAAATCGCCAAAAAGAACCGAAAAAACGGGAAAACTTCGCGTGAATTCGAAAGTTATATCGGAAATATTTCGTTTATCGCATGTTCTTATAAAAAATCGCGTTACTTTTGATGCGTTTTTATTATTTATTTATTGTTTATTATTTATTGCTAGCTCGAAGGCATATTATGTAAAAGTTTTATAAAGAGCGCGTATTTAGTTGGTAAGATAGATTGCGACTGACGTCCATGAACGTTTAAATGTGTTACAAAAGCGCCAAACTTTTAAAATATAACTTTTCGATGCTCTCCCGCCATCTACCGGCCAATAGAACAATCACTTATTAAATACTGTTATTTCTCTGTAATACCATTTATTGATTAAATATTATTACAGGATTCTCTTTCATTTACCCGATATTTCGGACAATATCGTTGCATGAAGAACGACAATATCGTCCTTAATACAATTAATGATTGAATATACATTATTTGAAACCGTAATCACTAATTATACATAAACAACGCTAAGAAAAAAAAAAGTATTATTAAGACGAAACACTCTAGTAAAATGAATTAAAGGTAGATGTCGCTTTGGAAAACGATTCATGTCACCGTCATATTATTAATTTTTATTTTTTTTTGTAACAATAATATCTAAAGATGTTTTTTACCGACAATAAAAATAAAGATTCCTAATTTTTTTTTTAATAGTCGTGCTAAATATGAACGGTTTATAAATTATAGTGAAATAAATCTTCAGATAAATAAAGTGTTATTAAATTTATAGGTTAGAATAGAACAAACTTAAATAGTTCCGTTTTAATTTAATTTTTATTAAACTGCTTAATCCTGTTCGTATCAATTTTTCAAATTCATTATAAAAAGTTTTTAGGTAATGCTAAAAACTTTTTTAAAATTAGAACAAAGGCGCATGTGTAGGATTTTCTTTACCCAATTTCTCTGTCCACGGGCGCGATTTCATTTCAACTTCAAAATTTGAGTCAAATCGTGAGTTTTTGCGAGGTGCAAACAATCTTGTTGATCTTGAAAAATTCGAGTTGAATATGCGGCGAGGAGTTTGGAAACAATGGTAATACTGACGATTCTTCTTTTTGGTGTAATATCAGCCGTGGGTAAGTTTTCAAATTTTCATATCTACTTATTAGTTTGTTAAAACGTTTCTCCTAAATTAGGTATTAACTATTTATATTACTTTTAATATTTATACCTACTATCTATATTGTTTTTTATTTCAAAATAACAACACTATTTGAATTACAATAAAATATAAAAGTATTTAAAAAAAAACTCATATTAAGTACAAACGCAAAAAAAACGCATAAATTATTTAGGTATACTTTTTATAATGGTTGATTTTTAAGCTATCTACCTATAAGTTTTTTTTAATAATACCGTATGTACCTACCTAGGTATATGGAAATTTTGAATAATCCATGAAGGCTGTTCTAACACTTTCCGTTCGGTCGAAGTTGAGAGGTACCTCATCCATTTCATAGAATAAATCTCTGTACGCAACCCTCTCTTTGTTTGTGTAAAGACAATAATTGTACATGTAGTAATTCTATCGTTCTCCGTTCAGTTTAATGGGACGTCTATCTTTCTCGGAATTCAAATCTACCAGAAAACGCGGGCTGGTCCAATTTATCTGTATATTGTAACAACTACCTATTGTGTTGATATTAATTTCTTTGCAGATAATATTTTTATTTATTAGCTACTTAGACGCCGGATACGAAGTTCTCTTTCTTATTCATTGATTAACATTTTTTGAGAGTCACCTAGTGGAATTATTTTTTAAATAAATGATTAACCACATTTAAACTTATTTTATTTATACTCTAAGGTGAAATAATAAAGGATTATTGATCATATTTTTTTGTAAATGAACATTATTGTTGTTATAACTAATATTCGATAATATATACTTGGTATCTGCGCGAAAGCTTTGGATGGCTTTATTTATGGTATATTTAAGGCCACAGTACCACCCCCAATATTCGTAACATGAACTAATTTTGAAAGATGTCATTTATGTGTCATAAATTAAGAATCCTTCTGTTAAACAGATGGAATAATATTCCATATTTAATAGTTCTTTTGTTCAACAGATGGCGTAATAATTTTATTAATTCTAAACGGTAACTGTTATAAAATAACAAATTCATCACCCCTAGCCACTACGCGATGATAATGAAGGAGTTCTTGACCTTGACAAATATTATCAATGTAGCAGGTACCTGAATAAAAGTTTTGGGGTAATGTTGTAGTTGAAGGGTCTGGAAAACTCGCATATCGGGGACAACACTAATCATTTGTAGTGCGCATGTCGCATGCGTTTTATTTGTACATCGGTCCCTTTTTGACAGAGTAGGTGAGCTGTGTCCAGGCCGTTGGTGTTTATGCCGGTCGGCGTAGCCAGGTATGGATTGAAATTTTCTGGTGACGGTGAAGCCGCCACCCTACGAGAAATCGTTGCTTCGTCTTCTTGTTGTCACGGCATTATTATTATTATTATTATTATTATTATTTGTTCATGTATGTGAAATTTGCTTCTAAAGTTTATAAAATACTACTGCTAATCACAGCGTAAATGAAAATAAATAAGACGGATTCACACAAACACGCGAGTCATTTCTAGACCCTTCAACTACAACATTACCAGTTGGATTAGATTCGGCACATCGGTATATTTATTAGTAGTTCCTTCTTGTGTCCAGTCAATAAAAAACAAAGGTCATTACGTAGGGACCTATTTTACTATACATCACCTGGTTAAGAACGGGACATAGAACAACTGACGATTCTCTGATTAAAAATAAGACAACTAAACAAATCATGCTTAGATAAATTGTTTTTCGTTTCCGAATTACGGTTTCCCTATGCATAAAGTTTTAAGTGGCCCCATAAAAAATTTAACGGGGTTAGATCCGGAGACCGTGGGGGCCACTCAATACTTCCTCTTCTTCCGATCCATTGACCTGGAAACGTTTGATTCAAATACTGACGAACAGTCAGTGCAAAATGGGGTGGCGCACCGTCTTGCTGGACTATTAAGTTGTTTGCTATATACTGATCGTCATTCTCAATCAACTCTAGTAATGCTGGATGAATGTCGTTTTCTAATAATTCCAGATACATTTCCGCGGTTAGAGTTCCAGGTAAAAAAAGGGGCCAATTATACGGTTCCCAAAAATTCCAGTTCAAATATTCAGTTTTTCCGGATATTGCGTATACAGTTCATGAAATATTCTGGGATTTGAATCGGACCAATAACAACAGTTGTGACGATTTACCGTACTATTTAGGAAAAAAGTGTATTCGTAAGAAAAACAAACGTTGAAAATAAATTGCTAGTCATTTATTACTTGTTCAGTCATAATTTCACAAAATTGTAATCGCCTATCAAAATCGTTAAGTTCTTGTACCAGATGTATTTTGTAGGTGTGACACTTGTGTTTTTTTTAATATCTTCTGAATGCTACTTCTCTTAATACCAGAAGTTATCGCCAACTGTCTTGTGCTCAATGTGGGTTCTTGAACAACATGCCCTAAAATCGCCACCTCTGTACCATTTACTACATCATTTTTCAATTGACGTTATTTGTTAGTTACTGACCCTGTTTCCTAAAATATACTTGCGATGGACATGTCGATTTTGATTGTTAAACAGTTGGGCAATTCTATTAGCACATCCATTGTTCGCAAAAAAAGTGAAATTATTTTTGCACACTCTCAGCAATTGAGTAAACCATTATCACTGATATGCCACTTTAATGCCGACTCTATAACGAAATAAACTACATCTTAAACAATAAAACTAGAATTGTTACAAAAAATTTCTTTTTTTTTAATAACAATCTAAAGATTATGTTAAACCGGTTTTATACTTTTGGTTAGCCACTGTATGGGATACATAGATGTAAAAAAATAAGATATCATTCGACCCATCTTTGAATTTAAAATTTTAGGGTTGAGTCTCATCCCCGCTAGAGGGTTTCCGTTCTGGGGGTAAAACTGACAAAAAATGTTACTCGTGAGCACTACTAGGGAGGTGTTTCTGACTCTAAATGAACGTTCCTTTTTAACGGTGCTTAATCTGGAGTTACTTCCAAATGTTCTCCCTTCTCCCCTTAAGCATTTGCTCGATAGCATATGTACAGAGCTCTTGTCTTGTTAATTATAGACCGTTATTAGTCGTTCTTTTTTGAAGTCATAGGGTTTTATACAACAAGAATAATAATCCTTTAAGTCCAAGTTCAACGCGTTGTCAATGACAACTGACAGCGACTTTTTTATCACAAAAAATACACTTCGAACAATAATAATTTCAGAAATTGTTTTTAAAATGGGTTCAGAGTACAGTAGAGAATGGTGGAAAGTCTATAGTTTGTTTTACTTTTAATGCATATTATTTTAATAAGTGATATCTAACAAATATTTAAAAGTTATGGACTTTTCACCATTTTTTGTAGTATTTAAAAGCTAACTTTTGTTAAGATTTAAAAATGTACTATTGATGATGCCAATTTGCAACCGTGCTAATTCGAAATATACGTTTTATTAAACTCATTGTGTTACATATTTGTTAAAATTAAGAGAGAGAAATTTAAAGTGACGTCTTGTATTACTTCGAATGAAAAATCGACTTCTAACCTAAGAAAAAAATTGTAGTTGGGTCTTAAGAAGAAAGCTTTAATATTTTGCATTAGGATTATCGCAACGTGCAACGTCTCAGTACACAACTCTGACAGCCAATGAAAAACTAATGCCGCATTTAAGCATCCTGTCGCTCTACGAACTTGGGCCACGACAGCTTCTTTATTTCACTTATTTGTAATTTTTGTCCACGTTCTGCTATGAGTGCTCCGCACCCAGTTTAAAACTTCTCTGGGTGCTTGCGCACCCAGAGCCCCGAGGATTCGGCGCCTATGGCTATCGATGAATTACGCACTGATGGGACACTCTGTATATGTGTTATTCTCTAACATGTTGGTATTGTTGGATAGGAAAATGTATAAGGATTTGTATGTTAAAATATTACACCGGGCGTTACCTTTGAAAAAATTAAGTAAATTGAACTTAAAAGTATCCATATATAAGACATGTTTCAAAACACAAAACAATTTTGAAATCAATGTAATCCTATCCAAATTATGATAATTTAATTTGGGGTCTGCATCATTCTCTAATTTCATAAAAATTTAATTGCTTGCAAACCTGTAATATTTTTTAAAACATTCTAGGCTTGAATACAGTATTACCAAACCATTCTAAAACTGAAATAAAATACATGTTGTTCTATTTAAAAAATATGCCAGGCAAAAATGTAACACTCTGTATATTCAAAAATATTTTTAAAATATGTATTTTCCAAATCCATATAACTTTTCTTTGAAACATGTTTGAGTGTCTTTAACACAAATTAAAATATTGAACAATTACGCACTAATGGGACATACACATAGCAGTCAACGTATTAACTCAGAAATAAAGTTTCTTATAAAGATAAAATAACATTCAGAAGAAGAAAGCAAGTCCGGAAAATATTACTTGCGTACCATACAGTGATGTCAGGTCATTCGGATTCAAATTACATCGGAATGCCATAAAGTTCCTTTCCTTTCCTGCATATCACCCACTTTAAAATTAAATTCATCCGAGAAAGTATTGTGAAATTATCGTATAAATCGATAATTATTGTACATCTGGCAACGTGGCCAATACTTGTTCATACGCAAGGAAAATAAATAGATAATTTTGTATCTGGAACGAAACGAGACAAATATATATGAAAATCACGAAACAATAAAAGACGGCATACAGCTGTATCACTGTTTCAAAAATTGGTACCTCTAAACAATCATTCACCTATTAAAACCATCTCTAAAACAGAGTGGGGCTACATTGTTTTATAAGGTGACATCTTCTTAAAAATAGATGAACTACACAATTACAGGTATTCATAGAAAATCTCTAATTTGACAAATAAATTTATCAAATATTTGTTAATCGTATTTCCACTTAGATTTGAAAAATACCCAATAAAATTTAGAAATATTTTGGCGGGATATTTGGAAAAATATGTGGAATGAAATCTCCTACTTTTTAGCTC